AACCCTTTGGCTGGTTTGCACAAAACACCGAGTCATAATCTAAGCAAAGAATCTGGGCTTGTACCACATGCTCGATCACCAAAATATCATCAGTTGAGTTTAGCATGTTGTGCAAACACAGTCACTGGATCTTTAACCACGAAGCGCCTTGTACGAACACAGCCCACGACAGGGTTCACACAACCTTCTTACTTTGGTTATTGAATTAGCCCGTCTTCTGGGTTGGCCCCACCTACGAACATGGGGTGGGTTTACGCCCTGCGCTGAGCCTCCACAAATCCAGCCATGCTTAATATATCGCGGGAATGCAGCTAGGACTGTAAGGTTTTCCATGACTAGGTTAAACTAGTTGTGTGAATCCATTCCGTGTTTTTGCCTCTCTCGACTGGGGAGGAAAACAAGGCTGAGGTTGCTATGAATGTTCAATAAAGTGCAGCTGTGGGGTCACCACTGCCGTTGTGCCTTTCTTGTGCCCCGTGGACCCTCCTGGTTCAGTGCCAACTTTCCCACGTTAGGAAGGAAGAGACGTACCTGTGGACGTACTGCAGCTGGTGGAGAGAGTGGATGGCCAGGACCATCTCGGCCAGGTAGAAGCTGGCCATGTCTTCCGGCAAACGGTCCTCGAACTTGCTCAGGAGGGTGAGCAGGTCTCCCCCAGCGTAATAGTCCATCACCAGATACTGGCAAAAGAACGGCCAAACTCTAGCCTCTCTTCCCAACAGGAGCTCCAGAGGTGTGGACTTCAACTCCCAGAATGCCCCAGCCAGCAAGGCCCTTGCTGAGAATTCTGGGAGTTGAAGTCCACACCTTCCCCTAGGTTAGCTTAACACAAAAGCGTGCACAGCCCACGACAGCTTTTGAAAGGCAGCTTCCTAGAGTGTGACACCAGCTTTGTCCAAAATCTCACCCTTCCAAAAGGTTGAGACTGCCATCCCCAGAATCCTCGGCCAGCACAGCCAACGGAATTGTGGGGCAGTGTTTGCACAGGGGCCAGAGTGTAGGAAGATCAGCTGTTGCCAATCCCTTGTTTTCAGCTGGTTACCTCAGGCTGCATTTAGAACACAAAGCTACCGTTTTTTCATGTTTCTAGTCCATTGTGAGGAAGGATGCTAGGAATCCAATGGCTGAGCAAGATGGCATTCGCCGTTCGCCAGGCTTACTGCCGCTATGTACCCACAAAGACGGACCGCATTTTGGGGAGCAGGGGAACAAGGGAAGCCGACACCCCCTTTCTCAGGGCTGAATGCTAGAACTGGGCACAGATGGCTGTTGATCAGCGGGCAGAGAAACTACAGGCAAGTTTCTCCACATTTCTGCAGAGAAATGAAAAATCCTCCAGCTCCTTTCCCCAGGCAGGACTCTCCCTTAGCGGCATCTGGACCACTGGACATTCACCCTCCCGTTGTCTCTCTCTCACGCACACACATACACACTCATTCACACGCAACCCCACAGCTAAATGCCCGGGCTTGCAAGATACACTTATCCATGATAATGCAGCAACTGGCTTAATGAACCTGATTTCCTTGGTCCACGTGACCCACCAAACCTGTGACTTGGAGCCCAGGCTGGGTTTCGCGTGTCATGTGAACTGAGGAAATTGGGTTCGTGGAGGGCCCAAATGTGGCTGGCAGAAAACACCCCTCTCCGTCCACTTCACCCACATTCTCCTCCCCGCTGAAGGAAACCGCCAAAGCCAATTCTCCATCATGCAAGAGGCCGACATCTAAGAGGAAACCAGGTTTTTCTGCCCGGCAGGATTCGAAAACGTGCCTTCTCTTACCAGGTAGTGCTCGTCCTGGAAGGCGTAATGCAACGTGGTAATCCACTGCCGATCTCCACGCACAAGGACATCTCGTTCTTCCCGGAAACAGGCCGTCTGAAAGGAGGCAGACACAGAAGGTGAACCTGGGTGGAAATCCTCCCACTCCCGCCTCGACGGTCCAGGCCCAGAAAAAGCGTATTGTGGTTGATCTCCAAAAGGCAGCTGAAATGCGTGCGCCCAGCAAGGGCAAACGGATGCAGTGCTCTTGATCCGGAGGGTACCGGAAGCACCCTAACCCTACTGCACCCTTTCACACAGTTTGGGAAAGACCCCCATGATATCTTTGGCAAAGAGGGCCCGGTTGGAAATGAAAGGATGCCCAAAAGGCACACCTGCAGGAGCGTATCTCAACGGCCTTGTGCTCTGGCGGAGGGCACCGATGGCCCCGGGTGCCATCCGTTACTTAGCAAACAAGCAAAGGGAGCGAACCGAGAAGCCAACACTGTGGGTTTACAAACGTGAAAGGAAGGAATTAGAAGGGCGCGACTCTAAATCCTAAAAAGCGAGGCCAGGGAGGAAGCCGCCCTTCTGGCAGGGCAGAACGGGAGTCCTGATGGAGGGGACCGCAACTGTTGGAGGACAGACCGGATCTCAGGAGAACAGCCCGAGAAGGGTGCCAGGATCATGAAAAGAATTACTGTATTTCTCCACGGGCGCCTTATCTACCTAGCTCACCCAACAATAAACTCTGCAGCAACACAGTCATAAGAATTTTATGAATATTTATATTTTTCTCGGCTGCCATACGTATTCATTTTGCGCCGTACTGTACTTGTTCTAATGGTTTTTATGATCATTTGCCGCCCAGAGTCACTTGGCTGAGATGGGCAACTATGGGAACTAAAATGAATAAAGAAACAAGCAAAGAAACAAACGGGGATGCCATCAACGCGACAGAAATTAAAATAAATACAGACACACGCACAAACTTGTATGCCACCGACTCCCAACATGCGTGGCTCACAACCAGCAAACGAAGAAATTACAGTAATTTAAATTTAATTTAAAGAAGAACAGGGTCTCTGTGCATGGGTGGGGGGGTTGAGGAAGCCCCTGTCCCCTCTCCCCATCTTCCCACAACCACCCAACCCACGTGAAGGCTAAGAAAGTTTCTGGATTTATGAAACAAACGAATCAACGGAAATGAGAGAGAAGCTAGAGATCCAGCTGTAAATGACGAAAATGACCAAATTACACTGTCATTTTCTTGGCAACGGTACAGACACAGTTTGCTACTGCCTTTCTCCAGGCGCTTAGAGCTTGGGGTCTCCTAGTGGTCTCCCATCCGAGTTCCAACCCTAAACTTGCGGAGGCCACTTTGACTTTGGCAGATGTTACCCCAGAGAACGCCCCATCTGAAGCACCCCCCTTCCCTCCCGAAAGGCTCTCGGGCTAGAGGCGAGCCTGGGAAACAGCACCTCCATCCTTTTCAGCATCTCCCACTTGTGCAGAATCTTCATGGCGTAGACTTTCTCCGTCTGCTTCATCCGCACCACGGCCACCTGGAAGGAGAGAGGAGGACAGAGATGGGGGGCGGCCCCGTTTCACTGGACCCAGATTCTGGCCCCCTGCGGGTGGGAGGGCGTCCAAGGGTACCCTGGCCACCAACAGCGGGGAGATGGAGAAAAGAGAAGAAAATTATTTTTGATCTCAAGTGTTTCTCAACCTTGGCAACTTTAAGATGGGTGGACTTCAATTCCCAGAATTCCCCAGC